GGCGAATACACAGTCTTCACATAATAAATACATATTGTGCTTTCCGTCTCTGGAAGGAACAAGCAAGGGTGACACACCATTCGCCACTTTGACAATCTGTATCTCACAAGGTTTATCCACGCTGGTCTACTTTTTATGACCCAAGACACTATGAAAACAAGAGTAAGAATCCTGTTTTTTACTGTATTAAAATTACATTAATATTACACTACAAATACATTTCATATTTCAGAGTATACACATCTGTATACTGTAGTAGAATAGTTTGTAGCAGATTTGCATTAAATATTTACAGTTAAATGAACAACCATTATAAAACAAAACTGCATTCAAGTATATCTGCCACTGAGAAAACATGACAGCTTTTGAGCCCTTGCATTACAAAGGTGATTTCACAGATAGCACCTGCTGTCTCATAAACATAGCATGAGAGAAACACATCGCTGTAAGAACACAGATAAGTCTGACCTTTCAATAAAACACCTGATATTACTTGATATGGAGCCACTATTGCCTGTGTAATTTTAAACTCCTCTCGTGAATAAAGAAAAACATACTGTAAAGATTTATATGCATCTAAATTACAATATAACAAAAATGCAAGTTGTCTTCTTAATGTATTAATTTATCCACAGCTAGAACAGTCTCAGCTCATATACTGACACGTTAATGATGCCAAAATACAGTATTCTGAAGCAGAACTCTTCTTTTAGATAAATACTCTGGTGAGCATTTCAGGAACTGACTGGAACTCAAGAGCCACTGCAGAAAACCATGTTTGGGATTTTTGTTTAGCAAAGGCTGGGAATTATTAATCCAGAATTTGTAAAACTATGGAATAAATGATAATAAATGTTCCATCTCTTAACACAAAACTGTCAAAGCATTCATCATATTTTAACATTGCAAAAATTAAACTGGGTCATGTATTGTGGATTACTGCATTGCTATTTTCTTTAAATAAAGGTGAAGTCTTTGAAAAATGCTTTATTCATTTGATTCACATTTTAAAATGTTTAAAAAACAGTAGGCCACCAACACTCACAAGCTGGGTCTTACAAGACTTCCCTCCTCAGAAGAGTAGTTCTGCATTTGTGCAGCCCTCTGGCTAGAAGCTCATCATAAGACCTGAACAATATGATGCACAGTTTCTCAGCTGGTTAGCTTTTGTACACATCCGAGGAAATGCCATTACTGTGTGCAAAACTTCATGAATCCATTATATATCTTCTTTCCTGAACGTACAGTAACTCTCACTCAGGAAGGATACATTCTGAAAACACTCAAGAAAACACAGGGGCTGGTTCTGGAATCTGCAGCACTGTGGTTATTTTTAAAAGAAACACAAACATGGAGCTTTTCCTTTGGCAACCTGTTCACATTTTCCACTCAATGAATTCAGACATCCCAACACATTAGCAATCCTTAACAAGTTCTGACAACTTAGCAAAGCGGGCTCCTCTGGTTGTTCTTGGCTGATGTAAAGCAAACGAATAAGGAGAAGCAGAATTCTAACAGGACTGAACAACCAACAAAACAACACTGGTCTGGTCAGGAAACAGTGTGGACATGATTCATGCCAAATAGGACTACACAACTATTTATAAAACTTGTTGCTCTTACACAGAGCTACACTCAGAGCCAAAACCCCTGCACACTAAATTGCTCTACTTCAAGACAAAAGTTCCACCTGGCATTACAAAAAATTATGGTCAGGCTGATTGATCTTTAAAAAAAACAACATAAAATGCTTTTCCCATAATGTGCACAAGTGTGTACTCTTCATCAGCCATGTCTAGTTCTGTAAAAGAGACTTTCCCAGTATACTGTCGCTGTTAAGCAGAGAAGAAAACAGGCCCTGCCGACTGGCACCATGGAATTGGAGTTGGTGCTGCTGCCTCAGCGCTAGAGGCGTCGGTCTGTGTGGAGTTTGCATGTTCACTTGGGTCTTCCCCAGGAGTTCCCATTTCCTCCCACTTCCCAGGGACATGTGGCTGAGGTTACCTGGTCCCTGCATGGTGGTGGTATGTGCATGTGGGTAGTACAATGGACTGGTCCTTCGTCTGTGGCCTGTTCTTTCGGGATTGTCTCTGGGTTACTACAACCCCTACCAGGATTAATCACATTTCTGATAATGCCGGCATCACACTGCATGACTTTTCCTAGGATTTTAGTAATCGTAAGAAAATCACAGCGAGTTGTAGAGAGTCGCAGCTCGCGCCCGTGACCGTCAGTTGTGTAGTGTGACACCCCCAGCGATTCAGTCATAGCACTCTTAACAGCCCCTACGACTCTCTGCGACTCGCTACGACAAAATCAAACTGGTTTGATTTTCTCGTAGCGAGTCGCAAGTCGTAGGGGTGGGCAGTGAGCCAGATGTGTACTTGTGAGATAATGTGCCCATTATAGTACACGTTACAGTGCAATACTAATTTGTTGACATTATTCGTTTTAAAGGGGTTTTATATTTTGAACCGTGTTTTATTTTTGTAAATGTGTTCTATAATTATAAAGAAGAATTATATTTTTGAAGGTGCTTACTTGTGGAAAACAATGTCTGTGTTACACTTTTCAAGATGTTTACGTGTTTGTTCTCCATGTTGTTTGTTTACTTTCGTGCAGGTGCTCCTCTTGTGCTCCACAGTGATTGGCTGCCGGAATGAGGCAACCTGGCCGTACTTTAGCGGCGCAATGCGATATCTGGAACTGTGATGAAAAGTCGCGAGGGAATCGTGTGATTAGCCACCCCCTGCGATTCCTAGTCGTATAATTTGACACCCTCTAGGACAGAAAAGGCAGCGAGATTCAGCAACTGCAGTCATTAAACCTGACGTGCTCTCCGACTAGAAGTTGTGCCGAGTCGTGTAGTGTGACGCTGGCTTAAGCGTCTTTTCTTTCATAATGGTGCAGATGTCAAATTTATCAGGTCCACAGAATGTGATGATTCCAAAGTCTCTTGACTACCTTGAAAAGGATGTGTTCATTTAAATTTAGAAACTATTGCACAATAGGTTTTACACCAGTTTTTGCTTTTCTACTTTTCCCACAGTTTGGAATAAAATCCCTATAGGTAGCAGCACAAAAGGAACACAAATGCTAATGCACATTGCGCAGACTGAGTCATTCAGAGCTGCAGCAAAGTCACTATATTCCCCAGAAGCCGTTTTGCATCTTAATGGATGCTTCTTCCTATCACCTTAAGAATACATAAGGCAGAACGAGGCCACAGTCTGTGCTAGGACTGCAAGACTTCATTGAAAAATAGGCAGAGAGCAAGGTTGGGACGTGATAATGAGATCCTTGCAGTAGTGTATCCCTTTGGAGAACACAGCACTATAATTTAATTTCAACCATTTTCTCGCATTAAAAACTAAAAAAAAAAGCCTTAAAATAATTATGAACACTACAAATCCACCACTGTTCCTAGTTACCTTGTAGTCTCTTCGCAGGAAACACACCATACAGTTCAGGTAAAGTCCACACTCTAGCCCATCACAGAATTACCCACCACACAGCTGGAACCCACTCAAACAGCTGGGTGGACAGATGAGGGTTGGTTGCTTGTTCACAGGCACAACATCAGCACCCACAGCAGAGCTTTGCAGCTACAGCTTTCCAGGCAGGACGGAGGAGAGATGACACACGAGCAGAGTGCTGGCCTGGGCAGATGACTGAGTGTCATCACTTTCCTCTCACTATATTGATTTTTCTATCCTGTTTTTACACGTCAGGATTACAATTTAAAAAATATGTACTTCTTTCGAGCTCCCAGCACAGAATCATACACCTACAACAGGAAGCACAAGGGAGTGTGGAATACACCAATCCATGTTTTGGTTGCAAAACCAGAAGCAGGGAGGTCCAGTGCAACTCATCTGATCCACTGTGTCCAGACAGAGGAAACTGTTTTAGAAAAAGGTTTGGATACAGAAGAGAATGCCGACTGAAGGGCAAAGCTGTGGAGAACGATCCGACTTTGGATAAAGAAATTACTATATTCTAGACAAATGTCTCCTGGACATCATTATAAATCCAACCTATGACTAGAAATCGAAAAACCAGGTATCCTTTATTACTTTACGATAACCCCATGTACTGTATTATAGCTAAATAACATAAGAAAATGAAATGTACCAAACTCCAACTATAAAAATGTTGTTGTACTGTACAGTGCCTTACAGTGCCCAGAGAACTGGGTGTCCACTACTACAAAGTCAACGAAAGCAATCACCTCACATCAATCATAGCTGGGTTTGCTGCAGCAACAGTGAGTTGCTCAAACAAATCTGTGACTGAGACACGCAATTATGAGCAGGTGTCCTGCCGGAAAAAACAAACAAACGGTATTGCACCTTAGACTCTGCGAGACTTAAAGGATTAACACCGCAGGACAGTTCGGAATCCTCAATTGCGCTCATTGCGCTTCTGAGCTGGTGGTTAGTCAAATGAGCCTGTCCCATCATCTGCACTGACTCACTGCAGGGGTCTCGGAAGTACATGACCACAGATTTCTTCCCAAATACAGTGATTTCATCCTGCAGTATCGGACTGCGACAGGATACGCGCACACGTGCCAAAAGACATTAAGATAATTTAGTCAGGATTTTTTTTAGCATGTAACTGATCTAATACCTAATGCAACTTACTGTATATCTTGACCGCAAAACAAAACAGTTATGAGATTAAGCTAGGCTGCTGAAAAGGAATTGCTATAAATGACACTGTCATTATCAGATAAAAATGCCGTTTAATTTCAAACACATAAGCCAGGATCTCTCACAAGCACACAACGATTCAGACGCGGTACGAGCTTAGCCACGTTGTCCAGAATTTGCAGCAACTTAAAACTGCAATGGGAGGGTACGGGCAGAGACGACCTATTACGCCAAATGACATCGGAAGCATGATTTATCAGCTACGAGCCACTAATACAAACCAGAACAACCTGAATCTCCCCCCCCCCTCCATGCAAGCAGGGACAGCTCAATTGTATCACCTACCTGTAGGTCTGCTCCGTGCGTCCTGCAGTTGATGTACTTGTCCCACGCCTGGGACAAATTCATCAGGTGCCGACTCGCCATTCCAGCCCCAGGATGAGCAAAAATAATAACACTCTTCGCGTAGAAGGATGTCAGGCTATGGTAGTCCGAGCCGAACAGCCTCCGGGGAGATGGGTGACGCAGAGAAGTTCAACATTTTTTTGGGGGGGTCGATGCTCACTTCTGGTTGGGGTTGTTTTTCCCCACGTCACCGGGCTTATTCTTCGAACACACGGCTGAACTGTTCAGGAGAAAGTAAAAAAAAACATAATAATCATTATAATTAGACAGCGTACAGTAGCTCGTAGCTAACCGCAGCGTTTCCCTTCCGTGCTAGTGCTAACCAAACTGCGGATGCTGACAGCAAACCCTAAACCCGTACCTCACCTCCCGGGGGTCACAAGAAAGCAGGCAACATCATCATCATCATCATCATCCTTGGAACAGTAGGCGAATTTCTACATGTACGCCTTGCAGAAGAGAGAAATATACAGTTGCCGTACGTGGCAGCGAGTTACAGAGCACGCACACTGAAACACTCATTTTTCTGCCTCCGGGATCGACCTGTCTCCCAACTTTGGCACGGCTCACGGGCTTTCTCTCGACACGTGCCAAGAGAAATACACCTTCGCGGACCCATCAGTACGCACGAACACCGTGCAACAGACACCGCATTTCGCTTTAGATCGATTTAAAGCATTTCGCCGCAATTACATACCCTGTGATCGCTCTCCCCATTTACAGCCAGCCAGCGTTTAAAAGCTTAAGGTCCCGTGACACCAACAGCGGCGTCAACGGCAGCGTCTCCGGCCGACGTTTTTCACGCTTTCCTATGGTTCATCCTGTCGGAATTGTTTAAAGAAGAATTGAGGGGGGAGACAGTATTCAGTTGCAATCCCAGCCTACCAGTTCTCCTATTTCTTCTCCGCTGTTTCTACCTGCAACCCATCTCCCTTTGGGCAACGGGCATACAACACACAACACAGGAAATACCGCCCATAAGCGCTGTCTGCTGCCCCTATTGGTCACTCCGCCGCTGCCGCCTGTCAATCAAGAACATCTCTTTCAAAAGACCGTCTGCCTCAGCAATCACTCAAATTTCGTCAGGCCAAATTTTCCGCTTTCTAGGGCGGAGTTTTGTTACAATTCTTAACAAATCCGCATTTTGACTGATATAACGTGCAAAACGATTACGGCTAGGCGGTATCGATCCTGTTATGTACCGGTGTTTTACTCTAACTCGTTTATGTATATAGATGCACAAATATTTCATATAGATAAAATCGATAATTATACGTACTTAAGTTTGTTTTAAAACACCTACTTTTTATAAATTTAAAATTGAACTTCTGTAAGTTTACATATCAAAATTACAAATCAATACACCTTTAGATTATTTGACATATCCTGTCCATGTGCTAAACAGCTCCTGATAGGTGTAGGTTAGTTCGTGTTAGGTCTTGTAATTCTTTTCCAGGACGTCAAATAAATAAAAAAATCTGACCACAAATGAACACCAGTCCTCAAAACATTTATTTATCATAGTGACAATAAAATCGGAAATTAGATGCACATCTCATCTTCTCCTCTGCTGCAGTCACAGTGATGCGCTGACACCTTGGGACAATTCAAAGCTGTATCTTTATACATCTAATCGTCATCGTCATACCGTGTCGGGAACTGATACTACTTAACATATATCAATAGGTAATGTTCAAAAGTCTACTTTACTGATACTTGAGATGTGTCTCTTTAAAGGCATATGGATGTGTCTGTCAGCTCTTACAGACTATGTGAAGTACACATTTCATATTATCTCACAGTTATAGATCTGGAATAGATTCATCTATAGTGAAACTGTACATACCGGATGCTGAAATATGTCTACCGTCGTAATGATAAAATCCAAATTTCCTATGCAATAAAACTAAGGAGAAAATTATTAAAACTTGCATTTTAGGTGAAAGAGACTGGGAATTTAAAATCATTTGCACCATATTTCTTTTAACTGAGAGAAAAATACAATTTATATTTTGACATATTGTATACAATATATGTGCAGTTTGTTTTAGCCAGCAGCTGTCCGACCCTGCAAATTACAGCTATCAGCGCCCTGAAATTCAGCAGGTGTGAGCCTGGCCAGTACCTGGATGAGAGACCTCCTAGGAAAGCTAAGG